CTCTCTCTCTCTCTCTCTCTCTCTCTCTCAACATTCAGACAATTGAATGACAATTGAATGCGAAAACTTCATGAACTAGTTTTACACTAGATTTCTGACAAAATAAAGTCAATTAAATACAATCACATAATAATATATTCATACATTAGACTCGTTTTTATGTAAACCATACGCCACATGAAAAATGAATGCAAAAAACTATTACAAACAATAAGTACACAAAACTTTTTATTAGTTTTTATTGAATTTACATAAATATCAATATATTCACCGAATATAATCAATAAGTTTTGGTAAATAATTTATTATTATTATTCATAAGTATGAAAAAAAGTTTCAAAAAGTTTTCAAACTTTTTTGTTTTACACTGAATTTGCATTGAATTCATGCGTAACTCTACGGCTAATATGCGTTCCCATAGTATGTATACCAGACTCGACCAAGGAGTCAAACTCTCACACGTTTTTAATATCCTTCAAATGTTTGGCTCACAAATATAGTACACATTAGTGTGAGTGAGAGATATAAAGTATTTAATGAAAATTATAAGCTGTAATTTTTAAATTAAGTATTTGTTTTAGTGTTTATATGTTAAAACATTGACTAACTGATAGAAATCTATCCCATTAGTTTCTATTCGTTAAGTTCGTAAATATTTTTAAAACTATATTTCTCTACTAAAAATCAATATAGAAATATCTAGAAATCACACATTTACAGGTGACTGTCAATATAGTAAAAATAGTAATGATATTTCTGTTTGTAAAGTACTTTGTCTACTGATAATATATATGAAATAAATAAATTATGAGCCACATATTTTTAAAAAAAACATATTTTAGTTGTCACTGATGTATACTATGTATCGATAGGTGTATTATAAATGTTATTAAAATCTGTATAAAAGTTTTGTTAGTTTTTATACAAAACTTTTTTGTTGTTGTTATTATAAACGCTTTTTTCAATGATAGCTATAGTTATCGAAAGGCAATGAATCGGATTCACCAGAAAAACCTGATTTTTATTTTGTTTTATATCTGAATGAATATATCGTTTATAATAAAAAAAATAATAAGTCATTAAACTTGTGATACAAACACACAATCGCTAAGAGAAATGACTTATAATTTGTAAGGAAAACGAGAATTACATATAAATATAAAAAACAAATTTATTATAAGTTTTTATATATTTTTGTGTTTTTTATTTGTTAACCCAATTTAATATCGATATTAAATATATTACATATGATTTTTCATAAACATTATAAGTTATAAAAACATTTGTTATGAGAATGAAAAAAAAGTTTTAAAATATAATTATAAAACCAAAAGTTTTTTTTCACTGGAAATAAGTTTAGCATTCATGCAGTGGTTATCGGTATAAAGGGTTCGATAGGTATTTATTTTAGGGATTATTCCCGAGTAATAAAAGTTATTTATTAAAGTTAATTATAAATTGATTAGCTAAACAAGGATATTAGCCAATGAAAATGAGCAAGCAGTTTGTGCAAACAGAGTTAATTTACTTAATAACATCCTGTTCAAATTTGTTTTATATTACGTCCCTGAACATCAAATGCAAAAGTTTATTATCATCCTTATATAATCAAGTTTAAATAAAAATCTTAGAAATATTCAAACGTAATCATTAACGTAATAATGATAATTACTTATTGAACTAAGAAAAAATATCATGGTCATATGTGTGTGTCATAACCATGTTCATAATTACATGCATAATATTTAACATTTATTATAATGGGCGCGACTTGTAATTGTAAAGCGAGTACAGTAGTGGTAGACATCGAAACCCACTGTACATACGAGAGTTCACAGTAAACATTGGCCTCGGTTTGCAATAAAATTCAAATAAAGTCTTACCTTTCTATATAGAATATCACATAGACTTTACACATATTTCCTTTATATTAAAAAGGACTTTATTATGTATGCAATGAACGCCAATATTTACTGTAGTACACTGTATGTCATACACTGTGCGCACGCGCGTGACTACAATACACAGTGCATTGAATGGCACACACAATACATTCCTATGCAGTGACAGTCAGTCTGTTATTGTATGTGAGATATGCATACAATAGCCATTGAATGGCATGTATTATGATAGCAAAGCCATTGCATATTAAATACACATTTAAAGCGATTAAATGCTAATTAAATAATTATACTAAACGTGTATATCATAGCAATTAATTAGCCTAGTTCATAATCGCCATTCATAATGATTACGTAAATGCAAACAAAAGTGTATTAAAGAAAATAAAAGTGAAAATTGTGTTGTGTTTTGGTTTTTAGTGTCCATTTGTTTACACCATTTGTATGACTCGTAAACACTATACTAATCATAACCGCGATTAGTATCCACTCAGTGGTAAACACGTGACCACCACTCGCGAGGGGAACGGGAGGTATCAGTGGAGAGACACCTATACCCCTCCCCCCACACCACACACCCCCACCATGTCGTTCAGCCCCCAGTCATCCCATTCCTCGTCAGCGACCACCACCACCAACGGTCGTAACCACGCGTATAATGGCAGCCATGGCAGTGGTGGTAACGACTGGTCCAGTCAGTCATCGGTGGGCTCATCGTCATCGGGATCCCTGTCCCGGCCAGCGCTGGCATCCCTGGCCTCCATGACCTCCATGGGCGCCGCCAAACAGGATGTCATCCATTGTCACCAATTCAAGGACGTGGTCGACCGCTACGAGCGTGGGTTGAGGTGTGTATTGTAGGCCCACCCGACCCCCGCCAACCCCTTACTGAACCCCCTTGTGATAGTGGACAGGGATGTGCTGTGTGTATGTGTGGACACCATATCTATTGATTGTAATCATGGGTTTAGACGTTTAGTTGGCTGTTGAGGGAGTTATGGGTATCACATACCTGTCCACACACACCATATGCTGGCTAATTGTGTGCTAATACAGCGGTGGATATACCTGTGAATTACCTTTTAATTGATTATTAGTTCACTGAAATGAGGTGTTTATATACCCTGAGCAGACTTTGTACACCATTAGCGCCAGTAGTTATGATAGTGTCTAATCATATGAGGTTTAGACAAATATTTGGTTCATTATAGCGGGGTTTATGTGTGCTTATGGTATGTATGGTGTGTATGATATGCCACTTGTCATTGATTTATCAACTGTTTGTACAGTTATTATCACAACATTTGTCTTGTGTTTAATCCCCTCTAACCATAGGCTCTGTATATGTGTGGTGTAGTCGTCACTGTATTTCATATCAATTGTGTTATTAATTAATGTGAAAAATAATATACATTTTTATTATGAGTTATATTCGCCATAATTTATTATCAAATAGTGTTTTAATAGCTTTTAAATTGACTTTTTTACGACTTTTTATAGTTATATAAAAGTTATATAAATTATATTTTCGTTTACTTTTAGTGTGAATACCAATCGCAAGGCTTTTGATGTTTTAATTAGTGATTATTATCGGTATATAAATTGTGTACAAACTTATAGCCTATCATACAGTGGTATATATACGGGACGGGTAGCAGTAGAGTATGAGTGAAATGTACGGGTATTTCGGTGTCCACTACACAAGTGTTGACTTGTTTTCTGATTACGAATTGCATTGATTTGAAGTAATAATTAAATTTTGATTGTTTTTTGTCATTTGCAGTGAATGTATATCTAGTGTTGAGAGTGAACTCAATTTAAACAAATCGGTGGACAGTTGGCATACGGGCTCGTCGACCACAGCGACCACCACCCCACACCCGATGCGGACGACTCCCTGTCCCAGCAGTACATACTGTCGGTGAGCCATAAGGACTCGTTGCGGCACCAGTTGTCGCACATCCGGCATATGAGGGATGAATATGAGACGCACCTACGGCTCAGGGATGCGTTGACCAAAATGATGAAAATCTCCAAATCCAGGGATTGTGAGAACGAGTGGAAAGAAAACTCAAGAGTTTTGGTGACATTTGAGAGGCAGTTGGAGAATATGATCGGTTAGTCTCTCTCTCTCTCTCTCTCTCTCTCTCTCGACACTTTGATTGCATTTTATTGTGTTTTTTGATAGGGTTTTGAATTTTTAATTACATTTTTGTTGCCAATAGTATAGTCCACTCATATAATGTGTGCTATATTTGTGTGAATTATATGAAAACTTATTGAAACACTGAAACCAATAGATAGTAAACTAAATAATAGATTAATGTCCGGTTATAATGAAGTAAATTAATAGTCATTAATAATAGTAATCCTGTTTTAACTCAAGGACTTAGGTTTTTATTATTAAAGCCTTTTTTATAAGTGTATAAATATATAATTGAGTGCATTATTAATGCTTAATTTTGTCATAACTTTCGCTACAATTACGGATAATTTGAATCAATATTTTTTTGCTCAAATTAAATGTTAGAAAAGTTTTTTTTCCATTCAATTCAGTCGATCGACTCATTTGTTTGTCATGTTTCTGGTGCCGAGAGTATGCAGTTTTGCTGTCGTTTTTGATATCAATTTTTAGTGTTTTTAATTGGAAGTCATTGCTGACTATAGTTACGAGAAATAGTTTTTGTGTTTTTTGTTTTATTGTATTGTTTTTTAAAAACACTCTTTTGAGAGAAATATTATTTTTTTCCAATTTTCTAAACCATTGAACCGTTAATTAAGTTATAATTTCTTAAGATATAAGACAGGACTCTATGTCGCCGGCAGTGTATGCCTTCCTATAGCTCTCTCTCTCTCTCTCTCTCTCTCTCGAAAAGTCTCGAAAAACAATAACTATTTTTAATAACAATTGTTGTGTTTTTGGTTTTTGTGAAACATATTTCAATTGAAAAAACTACAGACACTTACAGACAGTACTGTTCCGTCAAAAAGGGTTGACACCAAAAATAGTCATAACTCTGTGTGTATTACTGTTGACATAAAATCTCATTACGTTTTTATGTTTTGTTTTTTTCCCCGTAATTATAATTACAGTTTTTTTGCAAAAACATTGATTTTTCATAATTGAAAAGTGTATGAATTATTTGCATTGAAGTTTTTTTGAAGGGGTATTCCACCTGAAAGTGAGATCAATGGGTAGGACCCCGGATATGACACCTCTTATAATATCCTTAAACATGTTTAAAACCCCTATTAGTCCAGTATTTAAGGGCTTATGTATTGTCAGAGTCTGTTGAACACTATATCTACAGTATATCTACTGATTATAATCAATAGTATAGGCGTTTAGTCAGTGATTAGTTAATTATAAAGTGGTTTATGACTACCCCTGAGCCCTTTACCACAGATATTTTATAGACAATGTATTCACTAACTCGCATAGTGTACTAAATGAACCATGATCAGTATACTCTGTTAATTAACTACAATTTCTATAGTCAACTACCAATTAGTCGATAATAAAAACGGTTTTCACTATCAATGGTTGCCATCTATTTGTGCGGTTATTATCGCAATAGAAAAATGTGATAACAATTGAGATCATTATCTAATGTCTGATGTAATCAACACTTGTTTTGTAGGGGTTTTCCACCTGAAGGTCGAGGAGATTGAGGGCTGGGCGCGGATATGCCCGCGCGATCAGTACGAGATAGAGTTCCGGTACGGGAGGCAACGGCATGTGGTACGGGTGCGCATAGCCAAGGACGGGAGGCGCGAGTGGGAGCACCAGGAGTTCGCCCTAAAGGCCTCCCTATTGGACTCGATTATAGTGAGGGTGCGCGAGGTTAAGGCCGGTTGGACGCGCCGGTACGTGACGTTAGGGGTGACCCACATGGACAGCAAGGATATGATGCGGGCCAGGGTGCAGGTGATGAGCCTCATGGCCAACAGCTCCGGTAGCCTGAAGCTGAAGGTGCGCACGAAGTGGACGCCCACTATTAGCTCGTATTTTAATAATAATAATAATAATAACAATAATAATAGTTATAATAATCATAATAATAATAATTGCGATACAAATTCGGTGCCATTCATACTGAACGGGTCGACGCCAGGGGCACCGGGAGGCCCTGTAGTAGGAGTGGTGGACGCGAGGTCCGTGAGTCGCATGAGCTCCAGGGACAGTACGGTGGAGTCGTTGGGGCAGTTGATGGCGGCGCTGGAGGACTTCCAGGGCCAGTACGAGGAGTTGTCGCCTATGGTGACGGCGGTGAACAGGTTGTGGAGGATATACGGGCGCCGGGACTCTGTCGGATCGGAGGCGCCGCCGACACCGGCGCCCGATTTTGACGGGTCCGACGGTGAGGATATCGACGCCGCGTTGGCTGAGTTCCAGTTCCTCGACGATGGCGATGACCAAAATAATGTGAGTTTTGTGTGATCCCTGTCCACCCCCGTGTATAGTGTACGAGAAGTTTATGGAGTCGGAGTCTCTCTCTCTCTCTCTCGGCATTCAATTGAATGATTGATTGATTAACTCATTGAAAGGTTAATGAGTTTTGTGTGAATAGTGTATAAAAAGTGTTTTGTATTTTCTATTATAATGGACAGTCGTTTAGGACTAGTATTGAAAATGAAATATAAGTTTATTTACTATTACATGGGTTTTAAGGCTAGTGTTTGGCTAATACTGTAGTGTTTAGTAGACTATATGTAGGGTATAGTGAATAAATTAATTTGTTTTTCTAACTTTATTAATGATTATTAAACTGTCTTTTCCCATTGAATGACAGCTTATGTCATCGTTTAGTGTATAAGGATTTTGTGTGTAATTTAAAACTCAAGGCTTTTGACAATTGAAAAACAAATATTTGTTTTGAAAATAATGTATTTTCGTAATAATTTTGTGTACATAAGTGAGTATTAATCACACGATTCTGTATCCGATGTATGTTTTTATAGTATGTATTGTATTAATCATAAAATATATAATTGTTTTTAGTGTAGGATTTGTTTAGGAATTACATAATTAGATGATTTAGCGATTTGTTAACTGCATGTGATTTTATTGAAGTTTTTTGTTGTTAATTATGATTATTATTATGAGTTTGTGTTTCATTTACAAGTCATTTGAATCTTGAGTTTTATATTCACACGAATCGATTGCTTTTAAGAAAATGTTTTGTTTTTTGAAATGAAATTACTTTTGATTATTATATAATAGACTTTAGGTATAAATTTACTGATTTTTTTTGGGGTAATTGTGTACAAAACTATTTTATTAAAACCCTAATACAGTATATGGTTTAAAACATGCACTATAAACAGGATCACTTTTAATGCTTATTAAATTAATACCAATTTATTATAAGTTTTAGTTTTTATTCAATAGTTGTACTAATAGTATAGCAATTAAACCGATAGTAATCTGTAGTTATTTAGCGTAGCAATTGGTATTGAATTACATTTACACCTAATTTATAGAAATAATGATTTTTTTTGAGTCACAAATCATTAACTCTAATGAAAACCCATTAAAAACACCGAAAAACGTGTGAATCGACTGCCAATTGAATGCCAATTCATACACTAATTGCCATTTAATTCAAACAATAATTTATTAATAATTTTATTTACAATCGATATAACAGTCTGTGATATCGGGAACGGCGTCCGTGTCGTCCGCCAGCAGCCCGACCCCCATATCGAGTCAATGGGAGGCCTGTGTGCTGACCCACACCCGGGACGCCATCATACAGTTGAGTCATTGCGGCCAATGGGTGCTGAAGGCCCGGGAAAAGGACGCCCTGAGACGGCTCCGGGACGACGCCTTCGCGCTCCAGGAGTTGGCCAAACACTACGGCGCCAACACGTGCGACGAGTTCATGGGCGCCGACACCCGCGCGCGCGATCTGTGGGGGTATCTCACGGCGGGCGCCAAGAGGGACACAATTGTGATGGACTGGAGGGCGTGCGCCGATGGGCTCAACCTACTGATGCATCGGCACGACTCGGGGGACGATATTATTGGGGACGGGAGTCAGTGGTTGACCGCAAAGGTGTCTGAATGCGATTACGTGACGGTATTGCATGTCAGGGCGTTTTGGCAGCGTTTTGAAGCGTCGGTAGCCATTGATGATGTGCTGAAAGTGGCGCTGGATGTGAGTCGCGTGATCCGGGTGAAGGAGGTGCCCGTGTTTGAGAGCCTACTGTCCAGGTTTATAGCCCGTGAGTGGTGCCCGCATGAGGTCACGTGGGCGGCGGTCAGGGCTATGATTGCCAGTGCGGGTGAGCCGCAGATGGCCTCCATTGCCAGGCAGTGGCTCAAGATTATGACCGATGATAACGAGCCCGAAGTGAGTATTGCTTTAGTGGAATGGCGTGTCAATTGAATTGAGTTTTTCGTTTTTAAGAGTATTTGTATTAGTTTTGAAAAGAGTTTTATTAACTTGTTTTTAGTCTCTCTCTCTCGCATTCACTCACTCGCCCACTAACTATCTCCCCCTCCCCTCCCCTCCCTCCCTCTCCCCCGTACAGTACGTAACACTCATGTTATTACGTACTTAACGATTAGACTATTAACCAAAAACTCGATTCAAATATTATATGAAAAATAGTTTTGTATTTATTTACGAATTAATTTATGGCATACTTTGTGTTAACAGATTTTGTCGCACCTATTGTCGGGACTGGAGTCCAATTCGTTGACCACCCGTCGCGCCTCCTGTAACGCCTTGGCCTACATCCGGGCCCATACAGCCATTGATGAGCTCCTGTACGTGTCGACCGAGGATACCGACCCCCGAGTGCGAGAGGAGGCCCGCAAAGCCCTGTCGGCCTTCGGCGGTGAGGCCGAGCAGCGGTGGCACCAGTGCTCACTCACTCAGATGGGGTTCACAGGGCTGTCCATTAGCAGCGCTACCGGTGCTGATATGGGCGGCAAGAGTTGGCACAAACTGTCCAATAATAACATCAATAGTAATGTTAACTATTGATAGAAAAGTGCAATATTTTTGTGATTCAAATGCGGTTTTGAGCCGTAGTTTGGACTCACTTTTCATTTAATTATCACTCATTTTATTGTATTTTTATTTATAATAATTTTTTTGTCACATTTATTGCATTTTTTTCGTACGTTTAGTATTCATTTAATTAATTGTATTTGTATTTGATTTATTAGGTTTATACGGTAAATTATAATCTATGTCAATTTGTTTTAAATAAAATACAACATTTATAATTGGGAAGTTTATTTTAATTTTTATTTCATAAAA